GATATTTTGAGAGAGAGAAAGAGACCACTTTTATTACAGTATATTGTTTTAATTGTACTATTTTATTATTAGTTATTGTTAATCTCTTACTGTGCCTAATTTATAAATTATCCTTTATCATAGATATGTATATATATGAAAAATCATAGTATATCTAGGGTTCAGTACTCTCCACAGTTTCAGATATCCACTAGGGGTTTTGAAATGTATCCACTTCAAATAACGGGGAATACTGTACTTTCTGCAGTAATTTTGAAGTTGTGGAACTGATTTTTAAAAGACTGCTTTCTTTAAAAAAGAGAACAGAAAGAAATCAATTTAAGCTGGGTTTTTTTTCCCCCCATTGTAGTGAGAAATGTAAAGCATTCAACTCAAGTCTCTTAAAAATTAAGAAAAGGAACCATAAAATGTCCAATATTAAAACAATTTTTAGTTGTACATTATATATTTGTCTCAGATTAAGATCAGCAGATATACAAGGGAAGGGAGGAGTGAAGCAAGAAGCAGAAAAGTAGGAGAGAAAAGGCTGAGAAACAAACCAAAATACAGATGATACAAGGAGTGAAGAAAGATTAGAAAAACCAGAAGAGGGTTGGAAGACAGGATAATATTTAGGAATGAAGAGAAAGGATGACAGGACTGTGTAGCTTTTGCACTTAAGCACAGCTTCTCATTACTTTTATCATCCTTTGTTTGAAGTCTTACTCTCCACCTATGAACTACACGCTCCATAAGCATGAGAATTGTGCTGGATTTTGCTTACTATTGTTTTCCCAGTGCCTAACAGAGACATAGTAAACACAGCAAGGATTATTAAGTGAATGGGTGAACAAAGAAACAAATGAAAAAAGAGAGTATAGGGAAAGGGAATTCTGTGGCTCAAATGACACCAGCTATGGTCCACTGAGAGCTACCATTGTTTCCTCAAAAGCAAGAGGTCGTGGACTTGGCTTATCCTGGCCCCTGAGATGCTTGCAATAGTGTTTCTTTGGAGGCAGCTTTACAAACGCTCACACATTATCTGTGAGAGTTGCAGTCTACTGTTAGAACAAGGTTTTGCATCTGTTTCTTTCGGAAACTTTTTGAAGGTTGATGTTTTCACCATCCCTCCCGTTCCTGGTACCTTCTTACCCCAAGCCCAGTCTGTGATGCTCCCAAATCCTCCTGCCCCAACAGCCCCTCTGGAATCCTTGTCCTGTTGTATGTTGAAAAAATCTCTCCCAGAATGCTGCTTTCTTGGCTCTCCCAAGACAAGCCCTGTCTTAGTCCGTTTTGTGTTGCTGTAACAGAATACATGAGACTGGGTGATTTATAATGAACAGAAATTTTTTGGCTCACAGTTCTGGAGGCTGAGAAGTCTATTTTCAAAGTGCCCGCGTCTGGTGAGGGCCTTCTTGCTGCGTAATCACAGAATAGAAGGTGAGGGGGTGAGAGAAAGAGAGGACCGAACTTGCCCTTTTGTTACAGCACCAATCATCACCCCCATGAGGTGGAAGTTCACACATTAGCCTCATGGTCTAATCACTTCCTGAAGGTCCCACATCTTAATACTGTTACAATGCCAATCAAATTTTAAAATTAAATTGAATTTTGGAGTGGACAAGCATTCAAACCATGGCAAGCCCCGTCTCCTTTAGCTCCTTGGTGGTAACTGCCTATTTTTCCCAACCTGTCTGTATTAAGAGCCCTAGAAAAGGGTCAGCACTCTGGGCTCCTCATCACCAAGAAATCAACATACCTCAAACCTCCCCAAAAAATGCACTTTTCTAGTCCTTCCCATCCTATCCTTTAATACCTCCTGGTCACTCTTGTTTATTCATACAGATTTTAGCCCTTGGCCACCCACAGCCTCCTCATCTACCCCGACTACTGACCTGCAGGATGACTTCAGGAGTTTTGTGCACAATTCATCTAAAAATTAGCCTCTGCAAATTCTGGGATTTTTTTTTAATGGTGGTAAAATATATATAACACACAATTTACCATCTTACCATTGAAGTGTACAGTTTTGTGGCATGAAGCACATTCATACTGTTCTGCAACCATCACTAATCTATCTCCAGAAATTTCTTATCTTCTCCAGCTAATGGTCTGTATCCATTAAACACTAACTTCCCAAGTTCAGTGATATTTACTTTTACCAGGCTTAAGGCACTCTCACCTCAAAATTTTTCATTTCATAAAGTTGTTTTACCTTCAGAATTTTAAATTTTGTTATTTTACTTTCTGTCCACAATCTCCTGTCTTGCCAACAGACCATGGTGCAGACAGATCTGAGTTGGGATCCCAGCTAATCCGGTTACCAGCTTCATTTCTTAATCTATTTTGTGTTGCTGTGAAGAAATATCTGGGACTGGGTAATTTATAAAGAAAAGAAAGTTATTTAGGGAATGGTTCTGAAGGCTACACAAGAAGCATGGTGCCAGCATCTGCTTGGTTTCTGGTGAAGGCTTTTGTGCTGCATCAAAATATGGCAGAGAAGGGCCAAAGGGGAAGTGGGCATATGCAAAAAGACACCAAACCCTAGGGGCACCCTGGCTTGTAACATCACACTCTCACAGGAACTAATCCATTCCCCCGAGAACCCATCGAGGCTCCTAAGAGGGAGAACTCACCGGACGCGGTGGCTCACGCCTGTAATCCCAGAACTTTGGGAAGCCGAGGCAGGTGGATCACCTGAGGTCGCAAGTTCGAGACCAGCCTGACCAACATGAAGAAACCCCATCTCTACTAAAAATACAAAATTAGCCAGGTGTGGTGGCGCATGTCTGTAATCCCAACTACTCAGGAGGCTGAGGCAGGAGAATCGCTTGAACCCAGGAGGTGGAGGTTGTGGTGAGCGGAGATTGCGCCATTGCACTCCAGCTGGACAACAACAAGACTGAAACTCAGTCTTAAAAAAAACAGTGATAGCTCACTTACTACTGTGAGAATGGCACCAAGCCAATTCCTGAGGGATCTGCCCCCATGACCCAAATACCTCTCATTCGGCCCACTTCCAACACCGGAGATCAAATTTCAACAGGAGGTTTGGAGAACAGAGACAAACCATATCTAAACCATGGTACCTCACTTTCTTCAGTTGTAAAATTCACATAATAAGTAATGTAAATTAATTTTAAATTCACACATTAATGTGTGAACTCCCTTAAACCTTGATCTTTCTGATGCTCATCCCAGGGAGACACAGCATGCTGTATCAGTCAAGCTTTCTATCTCATCTGCACATCCATCTGGGCTGTGGGTGAGCAGCTGGACCAGCCACACTACCGTGCAAGCATTTCATGGATCCCTGTTAGGTTTCCTCTGCTCTTCCCCCACAGGCCTATTTCAGATCTTTCCCCTTTGCTCCATCTCCCTACCCAGCCAGTCTTCCCTGTTTCTATAAACCAGAGTCCTTAACACTTTAATGATATTAGAACCACACACATTCCCTGAGGTCCTGATTTGGTAAGAGGTGGTGGGGTGGGAATCTGCAGTTTTCAAAAGCAACCAGGGGATTTCGGTACACACAGTGTACAGCCCACTGTTTGTGGAGGGCTGTCCTGAGCCATAAGCTCCTTGAGAGCAGACACACAGTCTTATCTGACTTTCACCCCTAAATACCTAACAATAGATGCTGAAGGATTGATTGAATGAATGAATCTGTCACTCTGCACTTCAGAGTAAGTTACTGTTCGCCTTTGAAATGCTAATTAGCTACAGCTGTTTAAATGCAGTTTAAAACTTCAATATGTTTTATCTTTAGTTCTTTATCAGCCCTTTTCACTGCCATTGGGGGCAGGGAACTATAAAGAACTTGTTATTCTCTGCCTAGCAACAACAACAAAAAGCCAACCCAAGGGCCAGGTAAGATTGAGCCTGCAGTCTAGAGATACACAAATTGGGCCTTGCCACTGTCACTTAGGGAAGAACACTGATGACTCTCATTCTAGGGATTCCACAGGCAGAGGCTGTTATAGCCATTTCAGTGGACTTTTCTGGAATGGAAAGTTTCAAGCACAATGCTCACTGCTAGGGATGTTAGGAGAAGGTGATTTAGAGAAATAGGTGGGTAGACAGAGACAAAGACTGGCACACCCCATCAATGCTGCAGAGGCTTCAAATCCCAGCTTGGCCATTTACTAGCTTGTGACAAGTGTAATGAAACTTAGAACCTCTTGTTTCCTTATCTGTAAAATGGGGACCACATGATTTACCTTGCGGAGCTTTGGGGAGGATGGAAAAATGTCATATAAGTAATATATAGTGATTCTATGATGTTAGACAATTGAGCAGAGTCTTGAAGAAAGCATCTGTCAGTCTCTACCACTATTGGAGGGAAAACACACACACACACACAACACCTACACCCAGGCTGCCTACAAAAACAGAAGTGGAACCAGCTATTGCCCTGTGGGGAAGTCTAACTCTCACCCATTGCAATAAAATATTTCCAAAGGGAGCAGACAGAGTAACCTCAGGCCATGCCCTCCCACTTCCCTCTTCCTCAAGTGGAGCTCGGAGGGAGGCAGAGCTGGTGGGGAGCCTTTATAGAGGAAGTGGGAGGTAAAGTAGTGTGGGTGGCTGAGGCTGAAACATTTCTTTCACCACCTTCCTATACCGTCCCCCACCTTCTCTTCTGTGCCAGGGGGAAAGAGAAACAGTGCATGCCTATGCTGTACCCACACACACTTGGATCTGCTCCCCCAGCCTCCAGATCCCACCTCATCATTCGTCATCATTCACTGAATGCCTGTAGCCCTCACGGTGCTTTCTAAATGCCTCAGCTGGAACCTCCCTGGGAGCCCATATAAAGTTTGCTTCAATATTTGGGGTCTTCCCCCAGCCCATGAAGACCAGCGTCTAAGCCCTACTTCAGCCCTTCCCTGTGCCTGGTTTTCTCTCTCCAATTTAAGTGCTAAGAGACTTTGGTTTATATGTTAATAATAATAAACCGCTATAGACGTTCTCCCCTTCCATACTTATTCCCTTATTCCCACACATTTATTTACTTTCAGGAGAAGAATTTGGATTGGTTTCCTCGGATGCGAGCCATGTCCCTCGTTAGCAATGAAGGCGACAGTGAGCAAAATGAAATTCGGAACCTTCAGGAGAAGTTGGAATCGACCATGAGTCTAGTCAAACAGCTGTCGGGTCAGCTGGCAGAGCTCAAGGAGCAGGTGGGTGCATTCAGGGAGACGGTGCTGGGTGGGATAAAATCATTCACCACCTCTGGTGAGGGGAGACAGAGGGTCCAGGGAGCCAGGTCATTAGCCATAGAGGATTGCAAACTCCGAGAAATAAACCTCACATCGTACTGTAGAACCGCATCCCAGCAAACGGGGACTTCCACTTATCCCATCTCCCTGAGCCTTGTGCGACACTTCTCCTTCTGTGGAAGGGGGAAAGGAGAAAATGCCAAACTACAAGCATCTCTTTGCATTAAAAAAAAAAAATCATTTTCTGCCATGATAGTAATTACTAAGCCCATGGGAAAGGCAGATCCTCATTAGTATCTGCCATTTCAATGCTATAATCAACGCCTTTATCATATAAAATTGTTAGTATTAGTAAAAATATCAACAGTAACCATGGTAGCTATTAAAATGACTGTGGTGATGGTGACAGCTATGTGACAGGCAAGATCTGTTTTCTAAAATGGCTCCTGCTTCCTAACCACAAAGAGGGGTTTGCTCTTTTTCTCTGATTATGGAAATTCACTTTAAAAAAGAATCCATTTTTTGATAAATATATTCTATATGATGCTGGACAGTAGGTAGTTGGGGAATATTAACTCAAAACGGTTGTGGCCCACCAGCACTGGGTAAGAGCGAGAAAATCCGCTGAACACACGCTCTCTCTTTTCCCCCAGATGACAGAACAAAGGAAGAATAAGCAGAGACTGGGCTTCCTCGGATCAAACACACCCCATGTGAATCATCACATGCCACCACACTGATACCATGGGGGGAAGCCGTGACTAGCCTTTCATCAGTGTCCTGCCTGATCACTGAATAAAGAACTGAGATGGAGGGGAGTGAACAGTGCCTATTGTTGAAAAGTTAAAAACAACCAAGTGCCAAGATGTTGAGTGGGTTAGCTCTGAGAACAATTTATAACTGTGTTTTCATGGTTGCGAAGACCTAACCTCAAATGCATCTGCTAGAAAGCGTACATCACACATTCGCAATGCAACAGGAAGAAAAGGCTTGCCCAAAAGGCTGGAGAGGGCAGGGAGCATCAGGGTGGAAGGAGACACGGGGCAGAGAGAACTATCTTCTGCTAAATCGATAGGAGTCAGTTTTGTCTTAAATGCTGACTACAGCCACTGACATGGTTGGCTGGAATTTCTTTCTTTTAATTGTGGCATATAGGTTCGTGATACAAGAAGTCATACTTTGGTGGCTAAGTTTTCCTAAGGAAAATAACTGAAAAGATGAAAAGTGAGAGTTGAAAAGAGAAATGATAATGCTTCCAAACTGTAGCTGTCTCAGGGCAATTTCTTTATTTATAACGTGAAGCACAATGGATTTACAGCTCTAGGAACTTAGTACTTTGGAGCTTTTGCCTCTCATGCTGACAACATAACAGAATGTGATTGCCTTCTCCGGATTCCGACAGGCTCTGTCAATGTGGAGCACAAAAGGAGATTTTCGTATAACTTGTTGAAAACGTCCTCTAAGTCATGGATAGGCTAAGATTTTTTAAAGATCTGGGGGAATAAAAAGCCAACAGTAAACCCCAGGAAAGGGTTTTTAGAGACCGTGTGCATGCTATTAAAATATATTGAGATTAATACATGAACATGCTTAAAGGTGATAGGAATTACTGAGAAACTTATGGTGGTGGCATTGCCTTTTCTAAACCTGCAGTGAAAGCTATTTGACTCATGTTTGCTGTGCCTAAAGAATTGCTTCAGGAACTGAGCGTGTTTATTTATGGTATTCCTGCAGTTAGGAAAAAAAAAAATCCAAGAAATGTATTGAATACTCAAGAAAATGCTGCATTTCAATTACGTATTTAAAACTGTATCTGAAAGGGCTTTTCAAAATGTAGAAAGACAAAAACCTCTTATTCGAATTGTTTTTATGTTAAATCATGCACTCAGAATTTGTGGAGGGAGAGAACCTGGCGTGTTCAGGTTATTCTTAGAGACTACATGTTTGGAATAGCAGAGCAAAATGTGGATAATTAAAGTGTTAGGAAAAGAAGCGGTGTGTTGGGACCCAGAGCAATGAATTTTTGAACTGAAGCTACTGGTACTCCCCAGCACCACCTCATACTAAGAATTCCTCACTCTGACATGGTAGTATTTTTTCTGACCAGGAGTTGAAAGACCCTGACATTCGTGATCCAAAGATATAAGAAATTTTGATATGTCTGCATGTAGCACAGAACTTTGAACCTAACAGGCAGTCAATAAATACAAGAGAAATTTAGCTGTCATTCAGTTACTCTTAATTCTTTATAAAACTTTAAGCGATAGCACATATTTGTTTGTTTTAAATGGCTTTCCCAAAATCAAAGTAGACTAAAGCAGCCATCTTTAAAATCCAGGATCATCAATGCTATTAACAGTATCAGGTTAAAAGTACACTTTAAAATATTTTAATCAGGCAGAGTTTTATGGATAGAGAATAGAAGAGAAAGGTGGTAAATACTGAACATATTCCAATATAGGAACCTATCTCTATTTTAGTACAAAATAAAATATTTCTGACATCTGAACTAGAGGTCAAGAGAATAAATTCATTTGTACACATCTGAGCAACCTGTCTTTCAGATGATAAAGTATCTAGCCTTTTCTGACACCATAATAGTTCATTTTGTAGGGAATAAGCCATTAGGTGTATATAATTGCTATCTAGAAATGACCTAATGTCCCCAACCACTGTGTAGTGGCAGATCACTGTTTCACAGCGTATTTTCTCCTAAGGAAAGTATTCAAAAGAGACTGCAACTAACAAGACTCTTATTTCATCAAAATTTAAATATTTCTTAGTTGTATTTTTAATGCCTCTTTCTTTTCTGCCTAAATGCTTAGAAAAGGCATTTTTCAGAACATCAAATTCCTAATGGAGAAGATAATGGGGAAATTTGACATTTGTTATAAATTTATATTTGTTATGTGTATGTTTGTTAATGCAACTGGAATATTTGACCTAGGTAAGTATCAGTTAACATCCTTGTATTTATATAGTGACATCAAAATAAATGCAATCATCTTGGACTTTGATGTTAAGGGAGATTTTGAAAAAAATATTTAGTTATTTAAAATCCATATTGGTTCAAAAATATTAGTTTCTGCTGAATAATATTTTTAATTTCAAAAGGGTTTTGTTCCCTCTGTACTCCATTCTGAGGCTCAAGAGCTTAATGCAAGTCTGTTTTCTGAGTTAACACTTTTAGATGAGAAAATGCTTGTATCATATAGGACTATAATATAAATAAATAATTTATATGTATGCAAAATATATCATATTTTCTACCCCTTAAAAAGTTAAATTAGAAATGAGCTTATTTTCTTACACATCAACATTTTTCTGTTGGTAAAGAGGACACAACTTCTAGGGATTGTTAATAATATCAGGAAGATATTTCATTCATCAGAACTAATTGTGTGCTTCTTCCCATATTCTCAGCTCATAACTCCCTGTTTTGGCTGCTCTCTTTATTTTACAATTGTTTTATTGCAAACAGCAAGGCAGTATGGCCCACACTCAGCCCCCAGCCCCCAGCCCCCAGGACTGAGAATGAGTGGGGAGGCTGGGGAGTTGGTGAGAGAAGGTGGAGATAGGGATTTCTGCTTCCCAGTACTCTTATCATTAGAGAAAAGGAGGGGTAAATATTACCTAATAAGAAGAAAAAAGCTTATTCTTCAGGGACCCAGTAGATTGGATATAAGCAAGTAAATATCGCACAGGCATCATGATATAACAGTTGATGGACCCCAGAGATACCCCTTACCCATGCAGAGAACAAAGCTGTGTGGAAGAGCAACTGCCATAAGATGGTGTGTTCCCTCCAGCGGCTGTTAAAGCCAACCTGAATCACAAATCAGCTATTTCGACCTACAGACCCATTCCAATATGCTGTGATACACGACACGGTGCACCGCAGAGGAGACTGACACCTTCAGCACAAACACAGATGCCTGCGGGAGCTTGGCAAGTCACTGAATTGCACGAAATTGTGAGGGGCACACCAAATGCAGGGATGGGGAAGGCCGTGGGAAGCTCCGTATTCTCAAAGTTTGACAGCTAGTTCTGGTTTGTAGAAAATGCCTGAGGCCAGTAGAGGCCCTGTAGTCACTCATTGCTGCTGTTTCTGATATAATTATTGAGAAAGCTATCTCATTTAATAGAAGAAAACATGCACCATCAAAACCAGAGAGCCTAACGTGCATGTGAAAATCGAGAAATCTGAAAACAAATCCAGGTACCCTTCTCTGAACTGGAGTGTTTCCACAGACTTGAATAATTTATGAAATTATCACACCAGTACTTCTCATATCACCAAGAAGACTTTCTATCCTGCCGTAGAGGGTTACTATATTTGCCTAAAAACACAATTCCAATATATGTCAAGGGCAGATAATTTATAAGTAAATGTTAATAAAATTGGATGTGTATAACTTTTTTGTTTGCAATACTTTAAAGTGTTTATTTCTAAGTAATAATGTTTCTAAGTAATATCTGCTTTGGTATGAAAAGGCATTATGATTGCTATTTTACAGAGCAAGACATTAGTTATAAAAAATTTGGTGACTTGAACCACACCGATGAGCTAATCCAGATGGACTAGTGTCCCTAAGGCTTATTGGGATTTGGCCAGTTCCCCAGTGTACCAACTCGTACTGGTGCATCACATGGTGTCTGATGGCCTGCTTGAGCTCAGTGGGCACAGACCATTGGGTGGCTTAGGATTTCCTGATTCTTAACACGCACAGCTTTAAATGATACTTCCCCTCAGAAGAGAACCGAGTGTGCAACAGCTGAAGTCAACATGGGTGGCACAAATCACATGCACTCTAGAAATAGAATTCTTTACTCATATGGGTATTTTCCAGTGTGCCACAGTTCCTTGAAGTAGTGTGGAAACATTTGTTTGTTTTGTTTGTAATCAGAGGAAAGGTTGGGGGAGGGCCATTGGACAGGGAGTTCCTCTTCTGGTGAGAGTAATTGGCACGAAGAGCGGGCAGTAGTGTGCATGTGGGGGCAGTGTGGTGGAAGTCCGCAAGTCACCCTTCCTTTGCCTGGTCAACTGGGGTGCTTTGAGGAAGTCCTAATGTTCAGAGAACAACTCCAGGCCAGAATGTGTGTACTTCAGCCTCACCTGTGTTCCTCACCCACATCAGAGGTGCTGGCATCTCACACAGAGCCACATGGCAAACAAAAACAGACACCAAATATGATGCTGGGAGAAAAATGTATAGAAACAGAGATAAGTTGTTAAACTCAGTTTGACTCTGTTTCACAGAAAATGATGGCTTTTACTGCCTCAGTGTGGGTTTCCCCCCAGATTAGCCTGTTCCCCTTTAACTCTGGTCCTTGGGGCAAGATCAGCTCCAGGGAGAGTGGCCGTACTCACAGATGTGGGAATGTGGCCACAGGCATGGACTTCCTGTACGATCCACTCCAGACATCCGTGCAAAGCTCCCCTCCCCTCAGGTCTACTTGCATAGGACAGAGCTGCTTCGAATGCTCTAATGACTGTGCTTTCTGGTTTTTCAGTAATAATTATCTTCACTTTGGACAATTATATCCTCCCTTCTCTATACCATAACCCACTCCCTCTTCTCCTTTTACGTGGGTCAGGTGTATCTTTGTGATCTTGGCCTTCTAAGCAGTAAATTCAAATAAAAAGTCTGTAACCACAATACCTTAAAATTAGGCCCTGCAGTATTAAAAATATGAGTGTACAACTATCAATTAGGGTTTCTCAGGGAAACAAAATAGGTATTGGTATCATGGGCTGAAGATTTTGTTTTAGGCATTAGATACCATGCAGTTATGGTAAAGAACTCTCCGGAAGGCTAATGCTTCTGTGTCTGGTGGAAGGCCTGAAGTCACTGTGAGTCAGTGGGGCTGGCAGTCAGGAAGGAAAGCTGGGTATGAAGCAGGAGAGAGCAAGGATAAGCTAGAACTCATGAAGACAAACCAAAATTTGCATCTAGCTCTCACCACCATACTGCGGTGGTGCGGATGACCTAAACTCCATAGTGCGGATGACCTAAAAACAAAGCTGGCACCCTTCCTCATGGAATTGCATGTGCATCTGGCCCAGGACTCAGACGAGCTGAAGGAAGAGATCTCATGTGAGCTGGAGAACTGTAGGCTAGCTACTGCCCACACCGACAGAGTGAGCCAGGAGATGAGGCTGGGTGTTGCAGCGGCACCTGTTGCCTGCTACTTCTGAGCTTAGTGACTGCATCACTTCCACCTTCCAAATCTCATGAAGATATCTCCTGTGGTCATATCTAACGTGTAACCCTATGAGTAAGGGAATTCTAGGAAATTCTGTAGTTACAGGTTAACTAGTCATAGTTCAGAACCTCTCCACTGAAGTAGACCTCAGTAGTGATACCCCTTTGCCTAGTTTATGCACAGAAGTCACACTTCTCAGCACCCATTGCAATTGAGTGGCAACACATGGCTACTTCTCACCAGTGGATTGTGAGGCCAGCTGACAATCTGAGGTTTCAAAAGCCCCTATACGGCCTTCAGTTCTTTTCCTGCCACATCAATCATGGAGGCCAAGATGGAACCACCCTAAATCCCTGAGATTTAAATCTCTGAATCATTGAAGGGAGCTACCTTGAGACCTACAGCAGAATTGGTGAGAAATAAACTTTTATGTGTTAAGCCATTAAAATTTAAGGATTTTTATTTCTTTTTGGTTGTTAAATAAATGTATGTGATAACTTGTTACTGCAACATAACCCAGCCCACCTGACTAACACAGACATATGTATTAGGCATCAGGATGTTACTGGCGGAAGAGATCTGAGTTACCCTGAGTTACCGGCAGCGAACCTGTACAGGTCTGCAGCAACCTCAACTCTTGCCTTCTCGGAAGAAATAATTCAACTGAGGGGCATAAAGCAGAAAAAAGGACTGAGGCAAGTTTCAGAGCAGGAGTAAAAAAGCTTTAGAACTGTAAGGAAAGGAAGGAAAGAAAAGAAGGAAAGTATAACTTGCAAGAGGGCCAAGTGAATGACTTGAGAAACCAAGTACGTAGCTTGACCTCTTGACTCGGGCCTACTTCCAGGATTTGCCTTACTTCTCCCTACTCCTGAGATCTTATTGGGAAGCTGCTGATCAGTTTCAGGTGTTTTCTGTGCATTGGGAAACTGCCTTTCTCTGGCGCTGGCTGTGACCAATTATTACTCTAGAGAAACGGTTAACAACTGCCTGACCATCACCTGATGGTCGCCCAGTGCTTTTGGTGTGTGTGTCAGGCTGGGGGTCCTCTCCTGCCCTGCTCATACATGACTAGCTACCTACTGTAATGAGAAAATCTCTAACTTCTGGGATTTATCCAAGAGAAATGTAAACTAAGAAAAAGATCTATACAGTTGTACCTTCGTATTTGTGGAGTATTGGTTCCAGGACCTCCCCCGCCTCCCACTCCCCTCGTCCCCCGCCCAGATATTGATACTGAATTCCACAGACGTTCAAGTCCCTGATATAAAATGACATAGTATTTGTATACAACCAACAAACCTCCTTCTGTGTACTTTAAATAATCTCTAAGTTACTTATAACACCTAATACAATGTAAATGGTATATAAGTTACTGTTATGCTGTATTGTTTAGGAGATAATGACAAGAAAAAAGTCTGTACGTGTTCAGTACAGATGTAAACATTCATTTCTTTTGCCAAATATTTTTTATCTGCAGTTGATCGAATCCACAGATGCAGGACCTACAGATACAGAGGGCCAACTATGTATACAAAATACTCATCATATTATTATTTATAATTTAAAAATTGAACACAGTCCAAATGTCCAGCAACTTGGGTGTGTTTAAAAATTTATCATTCAGACATAGGCTGGAATGTTATGAAACCTATGAGAAGTATATAAATTGAGGCAATACTGGAAAATAGGCAGAATAAATGTTTTAAATGGCTACAAAATTGTATATACACTATTATCTTCATGATACAAAAAAGCCAACTTCTCCAAAAAATTTGAACAGAATATATTGCAATGATATTCATTGTAAAATAGCTATAGGATATACATTTTCTTTTTCTTTACTTTCTAAACTTTTTATCATTTTAAAAATTGCTTTTATAGTTTAATAATAACATTTTTTTAAAATAAATGAAGATCCTAATGACTAAAATCCAGCCAGTATTTCCTAAGAACAAGTTCTTCCAAACTCATTTGCATTTTTATAGGATCACTAGAATTGTAGATTAAGTAAATACCATAGCCACAGTTTAAATTGATTTCAACAAGACATTTAAGAAAAGTTTCCATGATGTTCCTGTTGACAAGATAGAGAAACTTATCCTGGATGACAATGGAGCTTACCAATTTGCATGCAAGTGAACAATTTCGCTTAATATGAGACTAGAGTAAAATATCCTTGGCCTGCTGTTAGATCTCTGTCCTTGGCTTTTCCCAACCAACATTTATTTAAATGTCTGGAAGAAAGAAATAGCAAAATTATAAAATGTGGAAATGACATAAAGTTGGAAAGTAGATTTAACATGATTGATGACAGAGTAACAATAATATCAGAAAACTGGAACAATGAACAAAGCTGTTCTGAATAACTTTAACTGAAAAATGCAAAGTTTAGCTCCAAAAAGCTCAGTTTCATAAATATAGGATAGAACAGATAGCCATTCATGTGAAAAACAAACAAATACTGAGATTTTTGAATAGCCTCTACCTCCATGCCTGTATATTTATTTGTCTCAACAACTATTTATTTAGTACTTGTTATATTTAAGGAATTTTTCAGTGGTCCAGGCAAGACAGGATAATGGTTTTATCTTAAGGAGTAGGCTCTAGGGACAGAAAAAGGAGTTGGTTGCAAAAAGTATTCAAAATGATGAGCTTATCCTTGGATATGTGAGTTTTAGTTATTTTAGAGACATCCAGGAAGAAATATTTGTTTGACCGTTGGATATATAGGTTTGGACTATGAAAAAAAAGGGCTAGAAATAAAAGATGACAGAGTCATCGGGACATACATGGTAATGAGATCAAAGGAACAAATGAATGCTGAAAGAGAGAGTAGATACTAAGAAGAGAAGTTTGAGGACACAGCCCCAAAGAAAATCTAGCAAGAAATAGTTAATAAGAAAGAAAAACCAGAGAGCTAGTGAGAGAAAAGGAAATGATGTTTCAGAAGTTAAGAGAAGAGTTTCAAAAAGATGTAGAACTTCCAGGCAAGTAAGCAGGTAGACCATCAGAGCCTGATTAGCTCCTCCTAACTCTATTCACAAACATAGAAAACACAGAAAGGAAACCATACCTCATAGTAAAACATAAAAATAAAACATTTTAATCATTCATAAACTAAATAACATAATACCATTACTGAAGCTAAGAAAAATCTGTTAAGGAACTTTTCTAACTATATCTTTTACAACACACTAGACATTCCATT